GTTTATTTTGATTGATTTGCATAAAATATTAAACATCCCAAATAATAACCAACTCTGCAATACTTTATAACCATGCATAAGATGTACAATTATACACATAATACATGTACATATTAATACATGATTATATTATTGTTGTTTTTCTTATTATTTCAGTTACTGGTACTGATTACGAGAGGACCGTTAATGATATGGTTGGAATGGGATTCATGAGAAACGATGTTGTCCGTGCCCTACAGGCTAGCTACAACAACCCAACAAGAGCTATGGAGTATCTATGTGGGGTGGGTAGTACATGTACATGTATATGTACATCAGTCACTACTGCAGAACACTTGTAGATTATATCCACCAGATCCCCGTTAACTAGATTAATGATATTCATAGAGATACCGTAAAAAGAACAGAATTTCTCGGCCGCAAATCTTGGGGGTATAAACTTGGAATCTTTTCTTTCTGGATGTAGCCTCTTTGCTCTGCTGGCAAAACGGTAAAATAACACCTTTTCTCCATTAAAGACTGTACAAAGTATATACCCCCAACATGGCGGCTAGAATAATTTTTTCATTTACGGTATCCAAATGAATATCATTAAAAAGTCTATATAAGCCCCGTTTACACTACAAACCAGTTTGGATCAAAGCGGTTCAGAAACCAGCTTAATTGTGTCCACACGTAACTGTGGTTGAATCAGTTTACAATGTTACATTGCATACATAATACAGCTGCTTCAGTACTTAAACCGGCTTGATTATCTAAAACCACCTCCTGAGGTGGTTTGAGATAAGTCGGTTTAAACCGCATTGAAATTGTCCACACCTAAACTGATTTATTTCTAAACCGGTTCCAAACCGCTTTAAGGGCATAGTGTAAACGGGGCTTATGAATATCATGCATCTCATTCACACAGATCTGGTGGATACTTGTTTTAAGCACATGTAAATAGTCACTGTGTTTTATTTATTTTATTTTTTGTTTGTTTTGTCAGGAGGGTTTCAGTACTAGCTTCATGAGCTGACAAGCAGTGCAATATAATGCATGTGCATGTAATACATGGCTTTTTGAGCAATTTTAAAAATTCGTAAAAAATCTAATTTTGATCGGGATTAGCTCAAACTTGAGGAATAACATAAAAACATGTATATCTATCAGGAAAAAATATAAAAATTGAAAATTCTCTCCTAGCCATTTTTGGTGAAATTTGGCCAAAGACCCTGTACTATAGTACAGGAACTTTGGCTCGATTTTGGAGCAACTTCAAAAATTCATTAAAAATCCAATTTTGATCAGAATCAGCTCAAACTTGAGGAGTAACATAAGAACATGTATATGTATCAGGAAAAGTTATAAAAATGAAGAATTCTCTCCTAGCCATTTTTGATGAAATTTGGCCAACGACCCTGTACTATAGTACAGGGACTTTGGCTCGATTTTGGAGCAACTTCAAAAATTCATAAAAAATCAAATTTTGTTTGGAATCAGCTCAAACTTGAGGAGTGTCATAAGAACATGTATATCTATCAGGAAAAATATAAAAATAGAAAATTCTCTGCTAATCATTTTTGGTGAAATTTGGCCGAAGACCCTGTACTATAGTACATGGACTTTGGTCCGATTTTCGAACAACTTTAAAGTTGAATTAAAATTAAATTTCCACTAAAGTTAAATTCAAATTAAATTTCCATTAAAGTTAAATTTTATTTCTCTTTCTCTAGGAGCGTCCCATGCCCACACTTGAGGAAGAGGCGGAGCCTCAGCCCCGGGGTAGCGGAGCCGGGGGACAACAAGTCCCTCTCACGTCCTCTCCCCCTCAAGCCCCTCCCACTCAGAGACCAGCCGGTCAATCCCAACAGTCAACGCCTCCTTCAGCTGCTCCTCGTCCTCCTCAAGGAGGCCTATCAGCTGGAGGTGGTCAGAGCGCATCAAGTAATTATAATAATTATTAACTACCGTTTTGTGCAAAAAATTTTTGAGGGCTGTAAATTTTGTATGAGAATTTGCCTAAAAGTCTATTTTGTGGATTTAATTTTTTTGCGAATTTATGCCATCTTCTACCATAATAAATTGATTTTTGCGAAAGTAATCTTTAAAAATTGTGAAAATCCACGAAATTTACAGCCCTCGAAAATTTTGCCCTATACAGTATTTAACTTAAATAATAAATATGAAATATTAAGGGGCGAGCCTAATCAAGCGAAGCACTTTACTTTAAAGTACATTTAGTTATACCAAGAGTAGACTTGGTTACCGTACGGTTGGTAATATTTGAGGGTCCAAAATTTCGTGTTTTCTCCAAAATGTCCTTAGAAGCCAATATTCGTGGGTACAAAACTACAAATATTCATGGGTCGTAGTAAGCAAACTTCTTTTCACTTGGATCTGCTGGACTAGCTTCCAACACATGGCTTATGGTGGAATATGGAGTAATAGACAAAGACTTTGGCTCCTCCGCTGGCTTGGAAATGGTAGTTAGAACTCTGCATGGCCCATTAATTAGTTTTTATCTGTGGGTGGGTAGGGGTTAAAATTTTGTGGATAAAAATTAATCACAAAATTAACAAAAATTAATACCCCACGAAATTTACCAACCATACGGTATACCAATTATAGACGAATAGACAAATGCTTACTGGTGTGGGGCTGGCCTCAATCATTACTACTGTATTGCTGGTAATTTTGGACGGTACAAATTTTGCTACATTTTGTTGCGTGATTGATTGTATTTTTTGATTTTTTAAAATTTCCTTTCGTTACACTAGATGTGTTGCAGGGATTAAGTCAACTGCCACAGTTTCAAGCCCTGAGGGCTGCAGTCCAACAGAACCCAGGACTACTACCTAGTCTCCTTCAAGAAATAGGACAGCACAATCCTGAGTTACTCCAGGTAATAGAAATATACTATAGTACTGGGTGTTTTGTCAAAAATGGCTAGTGGAGAATTTACCATTTTTATAATTTTTTGAGGCATATACATGTTCTTATGTTGCGTAGAAAGTTTGAGCTCATTCCAATCAAAATTGGATTTTTCATGAATTTTTAAAAACTTGCTAAAAAATTTGGGTGGTACTTTTTTAATGAAATTATACATAACTTTTAAGCGTATGTATAATTGACTTTTTTATGTGTTATATAGTTGATAAACCAGAATCAGCAAGAGTTTGTTGATCTATTGAACCAGCCACCACAACCAATAGGTTCTGGTCAGGAGCTGCCCCCAGGGACTGTGTCAATACAAGTAACACAAGAAGAGAGAGAAGCCATTGATAGGGTAAGAAGAGAAGAGGGAGGTTTGTAAAGGGGACACATGTGGTTAAAAAGACAATGATTTTTTTACATGTAAAGGCACATGTGTGTGGTGGAAAAGATGGTTATTTTTACATGTATATTTTAATGATTTTGCAATTTGCAGCCATTTGTTGTTGAGCCGTATTAGACATTTTGGCATAGAATCACAAATCCAATATTACATTTGCACACAGACACTGTACGTGTATAATTGTATATTCACTGTTGGGGAGTTTAGGAGACAATTTTGATCTAGAAATCTAGATCTGACACTACACAGTGTTTGGTCATAAATACAGACATACATTTACTTATAGTTGTCTTTCTCCTCTCTCCCTCTTCTAGTTAAAAGCTTTAGGTTTTCCAGAGGGAGAGGTCATACAGGCTTATTTGGCATGTGACAAAAATGAGACATTAGCTGCTAACCTGTTGCTTAGTTCAGCAGATGATCCTGAACCCGGCCACGATCCAGGAAGTGGGCAAGGCCATGATACTGACTCCGCCCAGTAATTAATTCTCTAGTTATTAATTGTTGTTAATCGGTCATTGCGTCTTTTTTGTCTGTCTCTGTGTGTCTACTTGTATTATGTTAGCACTGATAATACATAAACATAAATAAATAAATTATTATTATTATTATTATTATAGTAATTGCTAAAGTTCCTATTGTTGACCCTTTATTATCTTAACTTCATTTGTACTACTTGAGTTGAGTGAAGTACCTCGCAATCTTAATTGTTGCTGCTGCGCACAATACTGGTAATCAAGTTATTTTTGATGTTTGATGTAATTTTATTAGCAAAATAAACCAAAAAAATAACAAAACAATTAACTTCAAAAAAATTCTATTAAGCATAGCAACAAAGATTTTGTGAAAAAATTAGCAAATGTACTACAATAACTTTTTTAAATTAGATTCTATAGCAAAGCAAGAGGCAGAAAAAGCTGTTAAAAATGAACTTGGGAGTTACTTTTCATTGCAGTAAATCTTTATAGAGTTTCCATTCAGATCCACTACCCAAATTTTACCATCCGGAGCAATAGCAACATCAGAAGCCCCTGATAGTCCAAAAAATTTTTCAACCACTTTCCCAGTAGCTATTTCAACTTTTAAGGCCTGTCCAGAGCGATCAGCAACATAAAGAAAGTCCTCATCAAGAGGATTGAGATGGATTCCATCTATAGAAGGAAGAGTTGGTAGAGAGATCTTTCATATGAGGCTACCGCTTCTATCATAAACAAAAACTCCCTTGCTATGGTGTTTGCCAACGTAGAGATTCCCTTGTTTATCAAACTGGATCTTTTTTAGGTAGCATGAGTTTCCGACACTCAGAGTGTGAGATTTGGTGCCATCGATGTTGTATATGTTGATCTTACAAGTGCTCAATTCGTTGATGTACATTAACCCATTGTAATCTAATGCCACAAAGAGAGCTTTGGGAGAATAGTGTACGCCATACAGTTCTCCACTGAGTGTGAAACTGTATGTCTCTTGATAAATATTGGTGACAAGTACTCTGTTTCCTTTCACGAAAAGACCGTGTGGATGTCCAGAAGGAATGGAGAAGCTCCTTAGCCTTTCTCCCGTGTGTACATCCAGGACTTGAACCTGCCCATTAAACTCTGTCAGGAATACTTCATTTTCAACGATTTGGATATAATGTGGTCCTTCAAATCCAGGGATGGTTTTGGATGGTGTTCTCACTATAACATTATCTGTTTCAGCTGCAGCTACTGCACCAGTTCCTTTGACAGGGTCTTGTATTTCTGCAGGAGACATGCTTGCTTCTGTTATGAAGCAGACAAGAAGAGATTTACTTAGCAATTGAAGGAACTTCATTTCTGTAGACTCTGAATTATTATTCTTGCAGGAATGAATGACTGAACAAGCAGGGGGTGGAAAAGGTGGAAATCCACCCTCTTTGGGCATGGTTAAAATTTTTTATCACCTTTTACTTTAATTTGAAAATGTATACTAAGATGTACAGTACATGTAATTTTGTAAACGCAATTATTTGGTGATGAGGGTGCTCACTATTTTAACACCTAATCACCTATACTTTGTTCAAGGAAATGCATACGATAAGCTGTGAATCTTTTTGTAAAATGCAATGTGTCAAATCACAACATCTATAAAAATTGTAGCTGTTTTAGTTGCACCATGAACTTTTGGCCATTCTGATAATTTTGATGTAATTTTATTAGCAAATAAACAAAAAAATAGTAAAACAAGTAACTACAAAAATTCTATTTAGCATAGCAACAAAAATTTAGCAGAAAAATTAGCAAATGCACTACAATAACTTTTAATAATTCTATAGCAAAGCAAAAGGCTGAAAAGCTGTTAGAAACAAACTTGGAGTTATTTTTCATTGCAGTAAATCTTTATGGAGTTTCCACTCAGATCCGTTACCCAAACTTTACCATCTGGGCCAATAGCAATGTCATAAGGTGCAGATACTCCAGTAAATTTTTCAACCACTTTTCCAGTAGCTATTTCAACTTTCAAAACCTTTCCTGAGCGATCAGCAACGTAAAGAAAGCCCTTATCAAGAGGATGAGATGAT